CTGAGCTTATACCCCCACTTGAAGGCAACAGCTCCGCACCAGCTGGAGCCCCACTTTCACTAAGGTACAAGCACAGGCTGGGGGAGCTATGGTCCTTCCCATCTGCAGAGACAGTGCAAACAGGTCTCCAGGGCTGAGGCGCTCGGTGGGGCACATGAAGAAATAAACACACACACTCAGGTCCCGTGTTACACTTCAACAAGGGCAATGCCTGCTGTAAATCTATATAATAAAAGCCTAAGCGACTGTTAAGGCAGAATGACCAGAACGACCGGTTGCTATGATGTGCACTGACCACCAGGGGGAAGACGCTCAACACAGGAGCTGCCCCATAGTGGTCAGTGCATTCCTACAGGAGGAGCGCCACTCAGCCAGAAACTGGGCGCATAGCTGGTGAGCACAGCAGCAGTGGTGGGAGCCTCTCCCACCTTCACAGCAGTGCTAAGGAGCAGCAAGCCAAGCGGTAAGGAGCAGCGTGTAGGCAGGTGGTAAGAAGCATGGGGTCCCTGGCTGTGAGAGGGATATGAATGCAGGCTTAGGCCTGATCCCTGGAAGCGGGCCTAAGCCAGCAGGTGGACATCCCCAGAGGGCTCCCAGATGGCGAGGGAGCACAGGCCGGGCTGAGGGGACCCCCCCCTCCAGTGCACAAATTTCATGCACCAGACCTCTAGTATGTATATATTAAAAGGAGTTTCCAGAGTCTCATTATGTAACACCTAAAATGTCCAGGAGAAAATAAAAATCACTCATTACCCCCATGGACCAGGAAAATCACAACTTGAATGAGAAAGGACCATCAATAGATGGCAACATCAAGATGAATCATATATTGGAATTGTCTGACAAGATTTGTATAAGTTACAATAAAAATGCTTCAGTGAGCAATTATGAATTCTCTTGAATCTAACTGTAAAGCTAGATTATTTCACTAAAGAAATAGGAATGATGCAATCATACATGCTACAACATGGCTGAATCTAGGAAAAACTATGCTAAGTGAAATAAGCCTGTCACAACACATACGCTCACATTTAGCAAATGTCTAGAACAGGCAAATCTATAGAGATTGGAAGCTGAAATTAGAGTGGTATAAGGAGGGACTATTAGTGAGTATACGTTTCTTTGGGAATGATGAAAATTTTCTAAAATTAGATTATGGTGATGTTTGTACAAGTCTATAAACAAACTAAAAACTATCAAATTGTATACTTTATATAAACAGACTTTATGATATGTAAATTGTATTTCAATATAAATTGTAAGTTAATAATTAAAATTTGAAAAAGCAATATATCAAAATAAAAAATACAGCAACTGATATTTTACAAAAGACACTTGCTAGATGGGCTCAATAGTACAGTGGAAATAACAGAGGAGAGAAAGCAATAAACCTGAGGACAGATCAATAGGATTTGCCCTGAACAACAGAGATAAAATAGACTGAAAAAATGAGCAGAGCCTCGGGAACCTGTGGGACAATAGCAACAGATCCATCATCAAAGTCCCAGAAGGATATGAGAAAGAGATTAGGGCTGAAAGAGTATTTTAAGAAACAATGGCTGAACACTTCCCAAATTTTTCATGTGCTGAAAGAAAAGAACTGTCAACCATGAATACTGTATCCAGTGAGGAGTGAAGGGGAAATAAAGACATTATCAGACAAAAGAAAACTAATAGAATTTGTTGCTAGCAGACCTATCCTAACAAACTGGCTAAAAGAAGTTCTTCAAATATAGGAAATGATAAAAGAAAGAATCAGGCAGGAAGAAAGTGTAACAGGAAAGTGCAGAAATATGGACTTCTCATAAATCTTATTAATCATATTTGATGGTTGAAACAAAAATTATTCATCACCTTATGACTGAGAAAAAGATATTTAAAATATTTAATGGTAAAAAAATGATTTCCTCCTAAGATTAGGAACAAGAGGATATCATACTCACTACTCTTATAAGTTCTAACCATTATAATAATGAAAACAAGGCACACAGATTGGAGAGAAAGAAGTAAAACTGTCCCTATTTGCAGATGATATGATTATGTATGTCGAAAATCTCAAGGAATCTACAAAAATGAAAAGACACTCTGAAAAAGAGTGTACAGCAGGTTCTAGAACATACAATACAATTACATTTCCTTTTTTCTTTTACATTTGCATTTACTAAAATCTAATATATAGAAAACAAAATTTAAAACACAGTAACATTTATAATTGCTTCTAAAATTAATACTTAGGGATAAATCCAACAAAACATGTACAAAATTACTAAATGTTGATGAAATATATCAAAGACATAAATGAAAGGAGAGATACCAAGTTCATGGACTGGAAGACTCCAAGTAGTCAAGATGCCAGTTCTTCCCAAATTGATCTATAGGTTTAATACAATCCTTATCAACACATCAAGGAGTTTTATAGGCATAGACCATCTTCTTCTAAAATGTATATGAGAAGGCACAGGGACTACCATAGCTAAAACATTTTTAAAGAGAAGAATGAAGTGAGAGGAACCACTCTACCAGATGATAAAGCTTGTTAAATAGGTATAGTGGTCAGCATATTATCTTTGGAGGGATAGACACAAAGATCAGTGGAACAGCTAGAGACATACAATTGTAACTAAGTAATTTTTTTTTCAAAGGTGTAAAAGCAATTCACTGAAGTAGGCTTTTCAACTAATGGTGCTGGAGCAACTGTATTTATCTCAGAGAAATAAAAACTTATGTTCACACAAAAACCTGTACAAAAATGCTCACAGTAAAAATAAAATGTACACAGCAGCTTTATTTTTAAAAGCCCACAACTGCAAACAACTCAAATATCCTTTATACCCACCAATGGGTAAATGGTTAAACAAACTGTGGTACATCTGTACCACAGAATACTACTCAGCAATAAAGAGGAATGAACTATTGATACATGCAACTTGACTGGATTTCAAAAAAATTATGCTGAATTTTTTAAAAAGCCAATCTTCAAAGGTTATATAATGCACGGTTCTATTTATATAACATTCTTCAAATAACAAAATTATAGAGAAAAAGAGCACATTAGGGATTAGGGACTTGAAGCAGAGGGAGCTGTAACTATATAAGGAAAGCATAACGAATCCTGTATCATGACTGTGGTGGTCACATCAACCTACTCATGATAAAATCGCACTAAATATGTGCACGTACACACAAATGAGTGCATGTATAACTTGAAATCTGAGTAAGGTTGATGGACTGTCAATGTGTGATACTGTATAATAGTTATGCAAAATATTACCTTTGGGAGAAATGAGGTGAAGGGTATATGGAAATCTATTATTTCTTAGAACTGCATGTAAATATATAGTTATCTCAAAAAAAATTAAAGCAATGATTCAATATACAAGGATGGGCAAAAAGTAGGTTTACAGTTCTAAGAACACAAAACAGAGTTTATTCTTGTATTAGTATAATCCTGTCTTTTTTCATATAAACAACTGTAAACCTACTTTTGTCAACCCCTGTATATATCAAGAGTTACAATCATGATCATAACTTTATGAACAAAGCTTGGCAACTTCAGTTCAGAAATTATCAGTCATTTGTCTACTCAACACCCATGTTAGGCACTGTTCTAGGTGATAGAGATTCAGGGCTGAAAAAAGCAGGAAATATGAAATATAAAAATAGCTCAATGAATGAGAAAGGTCATTACATCTATAATCACACATGTGAGAACTGGACCCAAATTAAATTTCTAATGAAAGTAATTTTTGGAATATTATATACTCATTAAAATGACTATGAATACTATCTAACAGAATGGAAAATGCTTATAAAATTAAGGGGAATACAAAATCATCCATTCATTAGTATTATGATAATTAATGACAACTTGTTTTTACATGAATAAACTTTTATTAAATTTTAGATAATTAGAAATAAAGAAATGCAAGATAAATGCTTTCTAAACAACATCTGATATTATCATCTCTGTGTCATAGTATTTTCACACTTGTGTTTATTAAAAAGTATAGACATTCATTTATTTAAATTTTTTTTACAAAGTCAAGAACCATCAAATGAAAAAAATAAGCAATGCTAAAGTAAATTCAGTTTTCATCAGTATCGGAATGGTTAGGTTCTGATCTTAGCCCTCTTGGAAAAATAGTATAGGCAGCAGCTGTTGGTTTCCATTTAGTCAAATAAGTCTGAAAATGAGGAGGCCACTCCCTGTTGTAACTATGCTTATAGGAAAACAGCAAAAAGCATAGTGGGATGAGGGAGTAAGAGACAATACCGGGAAAAGAAAAGATGCTCCTATGGAATCATGGGGGTCAGGATAACTAATTTAGGGAAAAGTCTGGGAAGAAAACATTTGTGTGCTGCTTATAGTGTGATTAAGGCAAGATAGTCACCAATCCAAGTATGACCCTATCTACAGAGCACAAAACAGAGTGGGGAGTTTGTAAATCACCGGGTGAACTCTAAGGCCACACCGGGTAATCAATCACAAAAGGAGTCTCTTTACAGGGGTATAAAATGCATTTGGACACAACTGCAACCCTGAGCTCTGACAAATACAGGGCAGACTCTCCCAGGAGCTTACCTGAAGACACATCCTTTCGGTCTCAGTACCATCTTTCACAAAAATAATTATTTTGAAGAAAAACAAAACAACTCCTGCCCTGTAACAACCTACTAACCTCTGCTTGTCAAACAAGGAGAAAGTTATCTCCCTCAGCACAAAAGGCATCAGGTGCTGCCCTCATTAGGAGTGACCCGGTGTGATAGCAGGGCACCCCGGACGCCCTGCTCTGAGAGGCTGCCAGGGATGCTCCAGTCCCTGGACCTGCCTGCCTCCCTCTCCTGTGCCGCCCCCCAGCCTCGCTCTTTCCTGATGGCCCTCCGGGGGCCCAAGGAACAGTCACTGACTGTGGTGTTAACTAGCAACAGTCTTTTATTTCCTAGTCCAATGTATTTTTTAAAAAACCAATACATTTCTTTTAAAAAAATACTTTCCCGGGAAATAATGAACAGTAATTGTCATGGACCTGTAGCAGAGCCTAGAAAAACCTAGACAGGCAAGAATCTGTCCATAGAGCAATATTCCAAATATGAAATTCATGGTTCACAAATAAGTAACTATGAATGGGCTTCTCAAAGAAGTTTCTTTTGTTCCCCCCCCCCCCCACACACACTTCTTACTGAATTCTGCTTGTGTAAAAAGTTTTGATTCTGTGATGTAGGGACAGATACTAACCATTCATGCCCTTTGCCCTCTACGTATAGAAGGGATGGGAAGAGGATGTTCATTAGTTTTCTAAAGACGCCTATCTTTTAAAATAATGTCATTATTTAAACTCCATCTGGCACTTGAGTCTCTTGAAAGATTTAGGCATGAGCTAGAGAACAAACTCATCTGGACTGCAGTTTAGATTTCACGTGCTATTCTGCTCACATCTTTCCCTTGGCTTGGCACATCTTTGAGATCCAGCTTACTGACTAGGATCCCGGGACATCGGAGGCGGAGAAACAAGTCTTCAGGACAGACATTCTGGCTCATTTCACAAATCTCCATGGCCAGGTAACAGCATTAACTTTCTTCTCTGTGCTTTTTACTAGTATCATGATAAGGAAAGTGCTTCTTTCCCCGCACTCATCCACCACCCCCACCCCGTGTATGGGGCATCTCACTGGCTTTTTTCTGAACACTATCTGCTCATGTCCTATACGAGGGACCCGGCCCGACTCTGGGCTGGCACCATGACCGGGACGGCACCAATTCGCTCCAGCGTTGCTTGGCTGATGGTGTGGGCATGTGTGTGCTGCAGCCGAGGCTTCCTGCTGACCGAGCCATTGCTCCTGGGCATGACCTTCGGTGATGAGGCCCTGTTGGCTGTCACTACCAGAGTCCTATGGGGAGCTGGGACCAGGTGGGTCCCGTTAGCATAGATGGACGGTATGTTGGCATTGCCCGAGTGCAGGGAGAAAGATTGGCGCAAGTCACTGAAGTGGTTGAATGACTCTGTGTTTCTATGAGCTTTTGGATTGTTGCTCCAGTATCGGCTGTTGTAGGTATTAGAGGAGGTCAATGTGTTGTTCTCAGAGGAGGATATCTCGGTGTGAAATGCTTTGGCAGAAGAACATTTAGGTGGAAGATCATCCTCTCTGAAAAGGAACAGAATAAAGTTGTCATTGGGATTTCCTTCAGGTTTACCTACCGGGACTTTCTTCTACATTAAGGATAACATGTCTGTGAAATACAAATCCTCAGGAAAGGCCACAGCAGCTCTGGTGGACTTGGCTTGAACATTCATTCCCTCTGAGACAATGCCCTAGAAATTTTTCCTCAGCTTCTCAGTCTCCAAGACTACGAAAGGACATTTCAAATCTCTCAAAGACTTGTGTTTTCCAATATAACTAAAAATAATAATAATAATAAAATAATTAAAAAATCTCTGTGTGTGTGTGTATGCATTTGCTCTAAATAGGAAAATAGTCCGTGAAGAATTCTGCTGAGCTAGCTGCTGTAAAATAGCTAGGAAACTAAGCTATGGATGTGAAGAACTTCAAGAAATGGTTAGAATAGGCCTGATCTTATTGCACTTTGGGGTTTGAGAGACCATTGTGGTCGGCTGAAAAGAAGTTTTCCTCAGTAATCTTATGCTGGGATGAAATCTGTCCCTGCATACATAAACCCTTAAGAATTAGAAGATGCTAAGAGAAGTCATTAATTTAATTTAAGAGGTTAATTCACTTAACATTTATTGACTATCATTCCACTAGATGTTTCATGTAAAATAGACACAGCTCAGATAGTCAATAAACCTCTGATCAAATGGGGGTGACAATTAATATAAGAATATCTGCGAGTCTGCAGGGTTGGGTAAAAGGCAAAAGTAATTTATGTGAGGAGATGATACCTGGACTGGTCTTGAATCAGATAAAGGAATTGACTGAAGAGATGGAGAAAAAGAAAGGAGTATCGCCCAGGAAGAGGGCGAAGGCCTGAGCAAAGGCCCTGAGGCATGAGAGGATGTAGAGTAAATTGGAACACAGGTGATCAGGGAAGTTATGGGAGGTTAAGACCAGTTATGGGAAGCAGGTGAGGGTCAGATCCTGAAGGACTGCATGTGTCATGCTAAGTAGACTGTAGGCATAAGTCATCAAAGCTTTTTCAATAAGGATATGATACGATGCAATCTCATTCTGAGCCTGAACCTTCCTATTTCCACCATATGCCAAAAATCATTTTTCTTGTCCTGGCCAGTGTCACTAGGTGGTTAGAGCATTGGCCTGTTGACCATCGGGTCACTGGTTTGATTCCTGGTCAAGGGCATGTGCCTGGGTTGGGGTTTATTCCCTGGTTCTGGTTGGGACACATGCAGGAAGCAACCAAGTGATGTGTCTCTCTCACATTGATGTTTCTCTCCCTCTCTTTCTCTCTCCCTCCCTCTCTCTTCCACTCTCTCTAAAAAATTAATGGGAAAAATACCCTCTGGTAAGGATTAACAACAACAAAAAGAGTCACTTTTCTTTAAAGGTCATTTTGACATTGTTTTCTTAAGATGTTTATATTCTTGACTGAACTTTCACACCAAGCCATACTGCTGTGGCCTATCTGGGTATAGGTATGCTCTGACCATATTCCTTCATGCTTTATGTTCTCATCTATAGTATGTGTCAATGTTAAACACATGTTCTAATCTAACTTTTCTACTGTGGCAGCCACCTAACCCCAGTAACCCTGGAGATCTGGGAGAGAAAGGGGACATTCTTCTCTTGTGTCCTCCTAGTCCTCCCCTTTCATGATCCAGCAAAGAAAGCTGACTAGTACCATGAGGAAAAGTGATAGCACTTACAAGAAAATATCCTTTAGCCATTTTAACTATGTTGGCCATCACAGTCATAAGATAAGCAAAGAAATCTTAGTTTCCCAAAATGAATGGAAATATAGACATTGGCTAAGCGGGACAAAGGATCTGACACACAAACCTTATTTCATTAGGAATGTCTTCTTCCTCCTCCTCTTTATTTTTGCGTCTCCAGTAAAAGAATGCCCCTAAAATTAGTGCAATGCAAAAAATGACAATAACTGCACCAGTGCCAACGGCTCCAGCTATTAGTCCAACGCTCCTGGGCTGTGCTGCAAAATATATGTAAGGTGTATTTAAACAACAAAAGCGAGAGAAATAGTATGTACCCATGCAACTTTATAAACTAAGTTTACTAGAGAATCTTCTTAAAATGTACAAAACTGCCTAAAGTACTGCATCCATATAAAGTTAAACCTCCCTTAACTTTCTGTACCCCAGTGCTAGGACTGAGGCACAGCAGGCTCGCAGGTATTTAGGGAATGAAAGGTTACCTGACTCAGCGTCAGGAGCGCCACACCTACAGCAGAGCAGGAAAAAGATGGTGCCTGTCTTACCTGCCCGATCTGCCCCACAGGAACCTAGCAATCTGTCGGCTAACTTATCAGCTCATTCCAAACAGATCACTCCCTTTTGCAACTAGAATTCCAATAACCCAGAATTCTCAAATGAAGAGAAAAATTCTGTACTTTTTATTTATGATCGGGGCATTCAACAATTAAGCTGCTATAAGGAATTTGAAGAAAATACAAGAAGGTCTTGTCTTGACCATGGCCACAGATCATCACAAACTGTATAATGTCTATAGCATTATACCATCAGAATTGATTTGATTCTACTGATTCTGGGGAGAAAGACATTTTGTCATAAAGAAGATGTCATATTGCTGAAGCTGAAAAGTATACTAATATGCTTATAAAATATTTTCAATGATTAAAACAAATGAATTTCTATTTAATCTTTAAACAATCTTAAAAACAATTCAGCATCTCTCTTCATTCCCAGTCTCAGACCCAAAGTGGACATCGGAATGTGACATACTTACGGGAGATAACCTGGAGATCCAAAAGACAGGTGCTGGTTCCTATGGCATTAGAAGCCACGCACTGGTACAAACCTGAAGACAGCGCGCTGATGTTCCGGATGTGACTGTTCCTTGGACCTGGTCTGCCAGAAAAATAGCAATCAAGTAGGATTTAGAGGACAAAAATAAGAAAACCAAAGAAATCAGCAGATGATAAGACTATAAAAATAAACACGGAAGAAGTATCAATAGCTTTCTTTTTTGGCAGAGATTTTTTTTTTCTTCATGAATTTTAAAGACCCACATCAGGACATCGCGTTAAAGATCTGTAGATGCACCGGGCTGTCTGTGCAGGCAACGCAGAGCGGAGCCGGGAGCAGCTCATGAGCAAGCACCAGACTGATTCAGGGACAAGCACATGGCCTATCAGAAAGGGGGTGGGCTGGTTCCTCAGTCCTTCACTTTACTTGGCCTGCTCTGGCATGGAAGCAATTTGTTGAAATGGAGTTAGAAAATAAATGTTCTTTTTGTCTGCTTTCTTTTAAAGGATAGGGAAAGTCCAACAGTGTGGAACCATAATTTGAAAGCACACATGACATTGCACCCCACTCGGTTTTAGTTGGCAGCAACACTGTAACCCATGTAAGCTATGCAGCCGGACTAAAGTGCCCTTCAGAGGTAGACAGAAGTAAAGGTGTACATTTCCACTTCCATCCTCTCTGCTCAGTTCCAGACCACGTCTGCATGTGTTCTGCACTCAGAGCGCCTGGGCTGCTATCTGCCCTAACACATGTGGTCCCGAATGTGTTACCTCATCTTCATCTATGTCTTTGCTTCTTCATGTGTGACATGGAGCTACCGACGTGCCTCTACATCATGTCTCTATGAGGACTAAAGGAGATAGTGGATGGAACAAGCTTAGTATGGTGCCTGGCCATGCTTGCCAAGGACAAATCCTTCCTGGCATTGCTTGGGAAATTTAAATTTTTCTGAATCATAAAAAAAAAAATCATAAGGAAAATGTTGAATGTCTCCAAATTTTCAATACAGACTAATAGCTCAGGATTTGAGGTTGAGGGATAGGCATTCACAAATCATAAGTCACTCTATATTTTTATATGACTTATGTATTTTTAAATAATTAATAATCATAATAAAGTCATTTCTTCCATAAAAGTTCAGAAGTATTCTGTACAAAACAATAATAAATGGATGGCTTATGAATATACTATGGCAAAATAATACATTTCAATAATATGTAAAACATGATCTCAAACTGATATAAACATTTGATAATAAAAAACAGTAAAACTAAATGCCAAATTAAAGTCTACTAAATACTCAAAGGTAGTATCACAAATACTTAATATTTAAGCTCTGTCATTCTAAAAGAAATTTTTAAAACAATACAGCATTAAGTGCACTATTCAACAGACTTGATCTTTGTTTCATGCCAAATTTTCCATAGGTAGAAAATTTTATTTAATTTTTGTGGTAATGCTGAATTAAGATATAAATGGAGAATGGAAAGGAAGAGAACCTATGCCCATTAAGAGAAGGTCCAAAGCACCTTCAAGGCAGATGTTAGGGTACATCCACTTCGTACTGGCTCATTTCTTTTATTTAACATTGAAAATGTTTTGTCTCTTTGGCCTGATTTTGCCATTGAAGTAGATATTGCTTTTGCCGATTCGGATTTTAAATCCATTTCTGTTTTCATGTCAGTGTATTCTACAGCAACATTCCCATCTCTTTCTCTTTGCATTTCTGCTTTTGAAGCATTTACACAGAACTGAAGTCTACAGCAAATATTCAAACACTGGAAAATAGCAATCAACATTAGTGGGAGATATCTGAATAATGTGATATTTGGATCCCCTTTCTTAACACTAGAGGCCTGATGCACAAAAATTCATACAAGAGTAGGCCTTCCTTCCCCCGGCTGCCGGCACCGGCTTCCCTCCTCCAGCCACCGGCAGACACCCAGGACCTGGGCTGGCTTCGCTCGGGCCACCCACAGGCACCTGGGACCCAGGCTGGCTTCCCTCCGGCCCTGGCTTTGTCAGGAAGGACATCCGGAATGACATCCGGTCCAATTAGCATATTACCCTTTTATTATTATAGATTATTATAGATTACATAGATTCACATGAGCCTCTCCCAATGAGGACTGACTGGGCACAAGCCCGAGGCAGATACAGCAGGGCAGGGATGAGAGGGAGCGGCAGGCAGGAGCGGCAAGCAGCGTTGGATTGCCAGTTTCGGCCCAATCCCTGCAGGCCATGCCAAGGGACCCTACCCATGCACAAACTCATGCACCAGGCCTCTAGTATCTTTATATGTGTCTCCTCCATTAGATAATATGTCTCTTTAATTTTTTAAATATATTTTTATTGATTTCAGAGAGGAAGGGGGAGAGAGAGACAGAAACATCAATGATGAGAATCATCGATCTGCTGCCTCCTGTACACCCCCTACTGGGGATCGAGCCTGAAACCTGGTCATGTGCCCTGATGGGGAATCAAACCATGACCTTCTGGTTCATAGGTCAACATTCAACCACTGAGCCACACCGGCCAGGCGATAATATGTCTAATTGCATTTATGTCTCTCTACCTTCCATAATACGCTATCCTTAAGTAGTTGTACAGAATAAGGGTTGTTTCTATTTGTGTACATACACACACATCTTTAAAGAATGGAAGAATGTACAGAAAAACAAATACAGTTGTGATAACCTTAATTTTTTAAGAACAGGGAGTACATCCCATGGGACTTGCTCTTGTCTTCAGTCAGAACGATAAAGAGAAAAGTAAGTGCCTGTTCATTCAGCAACTTCAGTGGGTGAAGACTTTGTTACTCTCCTAGGAGAATTATGGAAACACTCTCACTGGGGAGGGGGTCAACAAGGGAAGTTCAGGAAGGAGAATCAAGACGCCTGAGGCTCCCTAACACGGAAGAGGAACAGTAGTTCTTTCTATCCACAGACCCTAGGCAAGCCCAGTGTCCTCCCCAGACCTCAGGCTTCTCCCTGTAACATGCGAGTGCTGGACTATGGTGATGCTTAAGATACCCTCATGCTCCATCTGTGATCTCCACACAAAGTTCTGCAGAGTTCTCAGCAAGGAGGAGAGCTCATCATCTCTCTCCACTGTGCTATTCAATTATACGTAAAAGGATGAGGACAACACAGGATTCCTTAGGAGCCATGAAGGAAAAAGGCATAATTTATTAAAAAAAAAACAAAAAAAAAACACTGAAATAATCAGTAGAAAGTATAGGGGAGGATAAAATATAAAACAAAATATTAGCAATCTATCTAAATTTATCCATAATCACAATTAATATAAATGGATGTAATCAAACAATGGACAAAGGCTCTCAGATTGCAAACTGAAAACCAAACTAAATCTAGACACATGCTATATACAGGAGATACACCTGAAACATAAAGCAAGGACACCTGAAACATGCCAGCAAGAATTAACCAAAGAAATCCAGAACGGGGAAAACATAGCCAGTGGTTTTTGAAGTCAAGATTCCAACCACATCCTCTAACTCCAGAACCTACCCTCTAAGATACACTCTTCTGCTTTGTATACAGAAACAATTTGATGCTGATATGTATATAAACTTGACAAAAAAATTTACTAGAAAAACAGGTACAGAAAAATAAAATAAATTTATACCATTAGAGAAACTGAATCAATAGTCAGAAATCCACCAACAAAACATAACAGCAAGGCAAAGCTTAGGCAAATTCTAAAAAATAATCAGATAATCTCTATCTTATTCATACTGTTGCAGAAAATAGAAAATGAAGAAAAGCCGCCCAACTCATTTTGAGGCCACTGTATAATGTGATACTAAAATTGAACCAAGGACAATAGAAGGCAGAAAACTCATAGGCCATTCTCCTCACTTATGATCACAGATGCAAAAATTCCATTCAAATATTAGGATTCTGAATGGAGCAGTTTGTTTAAAAATAATCACAAACAGACTTTATTTCAGAAATGTAAGGATGGTGCAATGTTTGAAAATCTATTCATGTAATTCACTTACTGACATTTTGGTCTGGATAATTCCTCATTGTGGATGCTGTCCCATGCATCATAGGACGCTTATTAGCAGCAGTCCCGGCCTCTACCCACTTAGTGGAACCTGGGCCAGTTTACAAGCCTTAGAAGCACAGTCCAAAGGGCTACATTTTGCTTGAAATAATATCAACCTTAAATACAGTTTTCACTCACCTTAGAATTCGAAAGTATGTACCAAAAGGATAATACTGAATCCACAATTATTTCTCCATATGAAAATGAAGTGTACCTCCTAGGATACTGGTTCTAAATCTACTCATCTCTTGACTATCACATATGAACTATATGAGGACAACTTTTGGGTAACTTTTATTTTGACATAATTTTAAACTTACAGAAAGTTGCAAGACTGTCACAAGGAACTCTATATATTGTATATCATCTACTCAGATTCAACAACTGTTCATATTTTGCCCTATTATGTTTATAATTTTCTCACTAAGCATATAAATATTTTTATGAGCCATTTAAGAGTGAGTTGAAGCCCAGCCATGGTGGCTCAGTGGTTAAGCATTGACCTATGAATCAGGAGGTCAAGGTTCAATTTCTAGTCAAGGCGCATGCCGAGTTAGGCTGCAGGCTAGGTCCCCAGTGGGGGGAGTACAGAAGGCAGCTGATCCATGACTCTACTTCCTCATCTCTCTCTCTCTCTCTCTCTCTCCCTATCCCTTCCTCTCTGAAATCAATAAAAATATTTTGTGTGTGTGTGCGTGTATGTGTTTTTAAAAAGTGAGTTGAAGGCATTGGGTCTCTTTACAACTAAGTACTTAGTATTTCCTCAGAACATCCTTCACACAATCACAGGACAAGCATCCAAGTCAAGAAATTTAACATTGGTACAACAGTATTATCTAACCCACAGTTTATACTCAGATTTCATCAATTGTCCCAATAATGTCCTTTTTGGCTATTTCTTCCTCTGTCCAGATTCTAATTCAGAATTCCGCACTGCATTTAATTGTTCTATCTCCTTAGTCTCTTCCCGCCTGCAACAGTTTGTCTTCCCTTTGGTTTGCTTGATGTTTCCTCCTGATTGGGTTCAGGTTGTGTGTTTGACAGGAATACCACAGCAATGATGTTATGTCCTTCTCAGTGTATATATTAGGAGGCACAGGATAAGAGCTCCTAACAATATTAATAATGTTCACTTTGATCACCTGGTTAAAGTGGTATCCACCAGGCCTCTCTACTATAAAGTTACCGTTGACCCTTGAACAACACAGGGGTTCGGGAACTGACACCCCCACCCCGCCCAAGCAGTAGAAAATGTGCATATAATTTTTGACTCCCCAAAGACTTAACTACCAGTAGCCTCCTGTGGACCAGAAGCCTTACAGATAACCTAAACAGTCAACACATATTTTGTATGCTATATGTATTATGCATGGTATTGTTACAATAAAGAAAGCTAGAGAAAAGAAAATGCTATTAAGAAAATCATAAGGAAGAGAAAATACATTTACAGTATTTGTTGAAAATAATCTACAGGTAAGTGGATCCCTGTAATTCAAACCCTTGTTGTACAAGGGTCAACTGTATTATTTTTTTTCTGTGCAACTAATAAGTAATTTGTGGAGACATATTTTGGAACTATGTAAATATCCTGCTCCTTATCAAACTTTTGTCCACTATTTTGATATCAGTGATGGTTTTCCTAACCCCACCATTCCTTCTATATACATTAATAGATATTCTACTACTAGAAAATGCTTTCCCTTCTCCCCCATTTATTTATGTATATCAGCAGAGATCCAGGTATATCTCATTTTATTCAATGGATTATGTATTTATTTTAATGTTCAAATTGTCTCAGATCTGGCTGGAAGAAATGCCTTCAAGCTGGCCCTATACACAAGGTCAATGCTAATCCCCACATACTAAGTGCCTGTCACTAATCAGACATCTGGGGTGCTCTCCCCTGATGTGAAACATTCTTTTCTCAGAGATGCTTCCTGAGTTTATATTAAGCAACTGCAAACATATTAGTAAAGTAAATCTGAAAAAATTTATGTTGAGATTAAATGTTATTTTGAGATCTACTTTATTTATGTAGCTATCAAGAGGTAGACTTAAACTAAAACTCAGACTCATGTAATGTGCATTATTATGAAACATGAAATTATCTAAAGTAATTCTGATAACTGATCCAGAGTTTGAATTATAAAAGACAAACATTTTCATCTTTGCATCCCACTTCTCTTTTATACTCAAAGAATCAAAGAATATTCAAATTGCAAAGAAAATATAAATTTAAAAAAATGTGCCATAGCTGCTCTGGCTCAGTGGACAGAGCATCAGCCTGCAGACTGAAAAGTCCCATGTTCAATTCCAGTCAAGGGAACATGCCTGGGTTGCAGGCTCAATCTCCAGTAGCGGATGTGCAGGAGGCAGCCTATCAATGATTCTGTCTCATCTCTGATGTTTCTATCTTTCTCTCCCTGTCCCTTCCTCTCTGAAATCAATTTTTTAAAAAATTTGACTGATACAAAGGGATGGAAAGTTCTTTCTACAGATATTTCACAACTTATATATAAACAACCACTTTTACATGTTCATTTGTAATTCCAAACTCAATCCAGTATTTCAAAGAAATGTTATAAAATAAATCATAAAATCTTAAGATGGACAAGATCATCTTCAAGATACTGTTTAACCCCCTTATTTTACAAAAGACAACACAGGCCAAAAGAGGTAAACTACCACAGAAAACTGTCACTGAAAAACCTACAATTTAAATATGATTTCAGGATTTGAAGACAAGTTCTATTTCAAACATACCACTTACAGTGGTGAGATCAACAAGTTAGTACAGAAATAAAGCTATTTAACCCACAGTGTGGCTAAAAATTTAACCAATAAAAAAATCAGTAGAGAACAACAATATTGCAGTAATCATTATTAGAGTAACAAAAATATTATGTTAAAGAAATGTTTTAAAATAATGAAATTTGGACTAAGTTAACTTAAAGGTGATGGGAGGCCCATGATATTTCTGTTGTGATTCTCAAAGAAAACTTACAAGCTCTTTAAGAAGTTGGTGGTCCTGGTTCTTTAATACGTCTAACTTCACATACAACTTAGGACTTTCCTTTTCCATCGTTCATACTACTCAGGCATAACTAAGGTTGTTTTAGATCTCTCCATTAACTGCCAATTCTTTAAGGTTTTTACATCTGCCCTGAAAATGCTGCAGGAAACATGTTCTGTAATATAGATGATGCAACACTCCAGATTGCTAATTCCTAATTTTTTAAATAGATTTTACATATAATTCTATAATTTTCCTCATTTTATTTCGTACATTTTCCTCAATTTTTCAGGGGTGCTTCTTTTAATATCAAATATAAATAGATGGATTGACATGTAGAAAACCATCAGTGATGTTCATGCCTTCCCTATGTTTACCTGTCTGGTGTGATCAACTCCTGGGTGATCAGCGGGGCCTTTTCCTGTTCTCTTTCCCATATTCCTCCTCTAATTAGACATGAGGCTGCAAACAGGATGATTAGCCCTTCCATGACCATGCAGATGTTCCTCATACTAAAGTAGGCAGTTGCGTCTCAAGTAGGAAGTGGATGCTCAGCGATGAACTTCAAGGATTATCTTACAGTTAACAATACAAAGAAGCTACCATTGAGCTATTTTAAAATCTTCACTATGATGGAACAGAATTTCCATATATAGTTACCACTGAATAATCTACATTTCATAAAACGAGCAATGAGAAGATATAATAAAATGTTTTGTTCTCTTTATAGTTGAAAACACAAAATGGTCCAGATAGCTTTTTCAGCAGTTAAAAATACTGTGTGTGTGTTTTTTAAATCTATGAAAGCTATTACTTTGTGAGTCTTAGAACCGAAATTTTCCACAATAACTAATTAAATGAGTAAAGCAACGCTCTACATACCCTGAGTGGCTGTTGGAGGTAGTTTGAAGGTATTGTCTAACTTCTCCCAAAGGTAAGTTGGTCGAGGAATGCCTTCCTCAGAGCTGCAGAGCAGGATGACATCGCTGCCCACATCCTGGGATCCTTGGATTTGGCAGTGAGGGGCAGAAGGGGGAACTATAATAGGAAGAATAAGCAACAAAGTATGCAATCACTACAAGCCAAACGATGATAGAGGTGAGATCCAACATTCAGTACACTAGAACCTCACTGCTTTTGGGACACATACCAGGAGACTAGCTGAGTGAAGCCTGTGACAGTCATGTACTAGTCACAGGGCTTGGGCATAGGTGCCTACAACTTCAGTTAGCAGGGAACAAGTATGTGAAAGGGGCTACACTCTCTGGCCACATTTTCAAGGTATCTTATGGACTTGCTTTCACCCTGCTTCCTAAAAAGAATTCTTGAGATCCTTTGTTCAACATATTGCCTTTAAAAACACTGCTGAATACATATGTTCACAGCAGCATTATTTACAATACTAAAAGGTGGAAACAACCCAAGTGTCTATAGATAGATGAGTGGGTAGTGAAATGTAGTTATACATACAATGAAATATTACTTAGACCTGAAAAGTAAGAAAATTCTGACACATTACAACATTGATGAACCTTGAAGACATTATGCTGAGTGAAGTAAGCTAGTCATACAAAGACAAATTATGATTCCACTTATATGAGAAATCTAGAGTAATCAAAATCATAGAAACAGAAAGTAGAACAGTGGTCTCCATCAGCTGGGGGGAGAGTGGCATGTTGTTTAATGGGTACAGAGTTTTAGTTTTGCAAAGTGAAAGTAGTTATGGAGATTGGTTTCACAATAATGGGAATGCACTTAACACTACTGAACTGCACTGTAAATGTTATGTTACATGTATTTTACCACAGCTAATTTTTTTCATTACTGGAAGAGGCCACTTGTAGAGAAGATATCTCAAGGGAGAGCGACCACTTACGCTGCCAGCTCCACTCTGGCTAAGATCACCTCAACAAGGTCCTTTTATCACTTTACAAACAAAAACAAGGCAGCCCTTCTTTACACCTAAGCTGCTTTGTGGTAGGGGAAGTTATGGTAAGGTTCAAGTTTACCTACTACTTGACAGTAATACAGTGCACATTTTCAAATCATTAAGGTGGATGAGGACACAAAGATCATGAAATAAAAAATTACTGGGGGGAAAAAACACTAAAGGAAGAAGGTGGTGATTCATAGCAAAAAAAAACAAAACACACACACACACACACACACACACAAAACAAGCAAGCAAAAAAATATAAAGAAAGTAAGCCCATGGCTTGGAGTCCCTTATTAGGAAATATAGGCAGTAGAGATTAAGTCCAAGTAATGATGTACTTGTAATGCTTTTCAGTAAATGTGTTCCATCTTGCAAAAATGAATGAATGAATGAAAAATAAATGCAGTACACAGAAGAACCAGGAAAGAAGGTGGGTGGAGGAAAAGAGAACAATGAGAGTAACCTATAGGTAAGAAGAGTAAAAAAATATCAGGGTACCCTACCTGCTATGAAAGGATAAACCAAACGCCTCAGTTTAGTGCCTTCAACATTGCCACTGTGACGCTATGAGGGGAAACCAACATAATTCTTTGAAGGCAGCATTAACTATAAAATAAATTAAAGGCTTTGTTCCTTCCTTTAAAAAATGAAAAAAATAAACTTGGAGAATGTGGGAAGCTAGTTATCTAACTTACAGGCATAAGCATCAAAATAATATTAAATTCCAATAGTATTCAGTACTCAAGAGTATCTAAAAGCCTCCAATTTTAAAATATTAGAATGAATGATACTTCTAGGATAGAATTCTCCAACCTGGCTCTTAGTTTTCTTAAACTGTTTGAAAACTGGGAGGACAAGGCACCAAGGCTATAGCATATCCTCACCCAAAGAAGAAAAATGTCAAGAACCCCAGACACTGGTGTCCTCAAGTGATTCAATAATGGAAGGGATGGGGAGAGAGCTTGCCAAGGAGCATGGGAGCAAGTTCTGAGACTCGAGTAGGATGAAGGACCAACAAAAGCATCAGCCTTTTCTAAGTACTTCCTCGGTCTCCCCAAATGAACTGCACTTAGCCACTTCTGCCATAAGCATCCATTTCAGAGGCAGTGTTTTACTTCAGAGGCAGTGGAACTGAGAAATATAACATGGTTGAGAGTGGATATAATTAAGTATTAGATAGTCTAACTTGCCAGTATAATGGAAATAATAATGATTTGAGTCAAGAGACCTATATTTTAATCTAAACTTTATTGTGCTTCTTATCTATATAACCTTGGAAAAGGCCCTAATCTATTTGGTCTTGGTATTAAGACCAAATTGATCATATAACTAACCATTTAAATAAGGATACTTTTGAGAGTAAGAGGAGTTATTATTAAAATCATGCCAGGATAAGAAGTGTAAACCAACAATTGGTGAGCCTGCTCAGAGTTACACAGACATGATGAAGTAGTTAACTATTTTTACATGGGCTGAAACTTCCGCTTCATACTCATAAATAATTCTTGATTTAACTTGCTCTCAACGATACATCCTATCCTGCAGAATCCTAAGGAAAGTGAGAGGCCACTTGTGATGGTATTGTATATCATCTTTATCCAGGAAGTGAACTTTAGAGAGCTACTAAAATGGAGTGTGGCGGGGGGCGGGGGCGGGGAGACTAAGAAGCACGGAGAAGCAGAGTGTACGTGGGCTGGCGGAGAGCTGACATGAGAAGGACACAAGCAGACTGTGCGTGTAGGACAGGCAGAAGTAAACGCGCTTGAGAGGAGATTCGTAAGTAAAGTCCAAGTGCTTGGGACATTTGCTATCACTCACCTAAGACTGTGAGACCGGTGACCCCAATGTTTCTGCCCCCTCTATCCGGAAGGTTGTTAACCAAACACTGATAGGTGCCAGTGTCTGATAGCTGAGTGTTGTTAATGAAGATAGAGACATTGGTGGCTGGCATGGTGCCTGCAAATCCTACCCTGCCGTGGAACTGAGGGGCACCATCAAACATCTGTCCACCCTGATACAGAATGACCTGCAAAAGAAAGCAACGTCAATGAACTGGCCACTGCATCTCCTGGACACATAACTATAACTACCAAGTAAACAGTAGACGGCACCAAACATTAGAAAACTTTATTTCTAACTTAGAGTTGCCACCAAGTTCTGACGATAACACCTGTCTGTAAGTATGTAGGGATTCTAAATTCTTACATTCCAAATTAGAACAACGTTATTTCCTTACCTAACTCATCAGAATGAAGAAAACATCTTTATGCTATGCTACTATCAGCCCATAAATATTTTTACTAGTTCAAAAAATTAAATCCAAATTTAAAAAATTTTTTAATGAGCACTGCTATTCTCATGCTTAATAGGTCACAAAATAGATCACGAGTAATGACTGAATATACATGAATGTCATAACAGGGAAGGGAGTTATAAGCCCACGATTGCTGTTCTTATATCAATTTCTATTATCAAAGTTAACTATTCATGGGCGGGGACTCAGAGTGGTGGTGCTGCAAGAAGCCCTTAGGTCTGAGAGTGGGGGACTTGGTCTGTTCAACTCTACCAGTAAATGTTTGCATAACCGTGGCCAAGTCTTTCTTTGCCTGTTTGACTTATCATTGACTCCTAAAATGATGAAGTTGAACAAAATGATCTCAAAGGCTCAGTCCAATTACACAAGTTCCATAGTTTAAAGAAATTCAAGAAGTTTCAATTAAATCTATTTGTTCCCCTACAGAGAAATGAATAGGAGGTTATGTCCTCACCCTTTCCTGCCAGCCCAAATCCCTTCAGAAAATTCAGCTTATCAAATATTTTTAGGTGGTGATAAGTTTATTGAAGCAGGAAAGCTTCATAACAGAAATAATTAACTCTGGGAATGAAGGTATAGTCATAATCACAATGCATTAATCTTCTGAGCATTCTTTTCTGCAGTGGCTATCACATATTATGGGTCTTTTGCCTATAATAGATACACCTTATTAGAAATAACTTCTATTTTCATGTACCCTAATTTGTTTGAGACTCCAGTATGCCAGCTGGCTTTGTTTAAAATACTTGTAAAATTAGCCAAATAATTCAAGTACTACTTTAATATTATCACAATCTTTACAAAGTACTTTCTCATCCACCTAGTTTCAGTCCTTGCCTTTCAAAATGTATTTTGCTTTGGTATATAATCAGTCTTGGCATTTCCTGTCAGTGATTTTTTTTTAATGAAATTACAGGTTCCTACCTAAAATTCTCAGAAAGATCCCCTTGACATTTGTTAATTTTTCTAAAAAGTCTCTTCTGATAGTTGGCTTAATGCAGGAGTAGGACTTAAAGCAACACAGGCGGCACACACTGAACGTGCCACCTTTCTCTAGAAATCAAACATGTACTCAGGATGCCTTCCTACCCGCCTCCTCGGGAAAGATTAATATCCTAGAGGCAGCACAAGATGGAACAGAAGTACCTGCTCAGGTTGGTTGGCATTGGCGAGAGGAATGACCATCCAAATGACATTGAGGTTGATGAGGGCAGCACTGGTAGTGAAAGTACAGGGCAGGACTGCTGTCTGACCCCGGGCCACCTGGACACTCCCGGGGCTCTCTGAGACCTCCAGGGAAACCGTGACACCTACGGAAGAACCGACAGGAGGTTATGTGCCCATCCTTTCTGGACAGAAAGAGCTGTGTTTTCACGTGATTAATAATGTATACAGACTATGACAGTAAACAACTACTGACCAGTCACTGAGACAAAGTAATAGAAACTGTTCATCTCTTTCTTTATCCCTTAGTAACTACAAATGAAAAATAGTAGAGGCTATGTATTCCATTTTGTAAGACATTATTTGGTATTTAGACAAATATAACATAGGAGAATTCAACGGACAGGGTTTGAGCAAAACTTGACACAGTGATGGGGATGAAAAATAAGGCTGATTTTTAAAAAAGCATCATATTACCACAACTGCAATATTAAACTCTTATACATAAATCTAAAAAAAATATTTGCAGGAACTATAGCCTGAAAACCTGATAAAATAAATCAAAAAGACTAAATAAATGTTCAGCTATGGAATGGTCATGAGGACTGGATGATTCAATATTGTTAAAGTGCCAATTTTCCCCAAAATGATCTATAGATTCAGAGCAATCCTGGTCAATATCCCAGCAGGCTTTTTGTTGATATTGACAAACTAAAACACAAGAAAATGGAAAGTGCTAGAATAGTCTAAAAGAATATTGAAAAATAATTTGGAGAATTCATACTATGTGCATATAAAGTTTGCTATAGCGCTATAATGATCAAGACTGTGCTACTAGCACAAGGACAGACCACTAATAATTGAATTTTATACTTTAAATAAGCCCTTATATTTATGGTCAAATGCTTTTCAACAATGGTACAAGACAATTAAATGGGGGAAAGAATCGTTTTTTTCAATAAATGGTGTTGGAACAATTGAATATTAATATGAAAAAAAAGTAACTCAGAACCTTGTCTCATAGCACACACAAAAGTCAACTCAAAATTTACCACAGACCTAGGCCTAGCCAGGTGGCTCAATTGGTTGGAGTATCATACCATATGCCAAAAGATTACAGGTCTGATCCCCAGTCAGGGCACATAACTAGGTCAGGGCACATGCCGGAGGCAACCAATGGATGTTTTTGTCTTCTCTCTCTCTCTCTCTCCCTCTCTCTCTCTCTCTCTCTCTCTCCCTCTCTCTCTCTCTCTCTCCCTCTCTCCCTCCCTCTTTCCTCTCCCTCCTCCCTTTCCCCCTCCTTCCTTCCCTTCTTTCCTCTCTAAAATCAATAAACATATCTTCAGGTCAGTATTAAAAATAAAAAATGTGCCCCAAACCTAAATGTAAGCTAATACTATAAACCTTCTAGAAATAAACTTTGTGACCTTGGATTAGTCAAAGAGGTCTTAACATAGCACAAAAACCATAAATCATAAAAGAAAACAATTAATACCTGGACTTCATTAAAATTTGTAAAGCTTGTGTAATTCAAAATATTTAATTTTCAAAAATAAAACACCAAGATACAGACTTAGAAAAAAATATTTGTAAATCATATATCTAATAAAGGACTTGTTTAAAGAATATATAAAGAACTATTACAACTCCATAATAAAAAGACTAACAACCTATTAAAATGGATAAAATATGCTCAACATTCACTCATTAGGACACTGCATATTAAAACCACAATAAGATACCATTACACACCCACTGTAGCGGCTATAACCAAGACAAAACCAAGTACTGACAAGGACGTAGAGAAACTGAAAGCTTCTCTCACTGCTGCTGGGAATGTAAAATAGTTTCAGTTTCTTAAGTAGTTTAACATAAACTTGCTATATAACATGGCAATTCCAGCCCTAGGAATCTACCTAAATAAATCGAAAATATATGTGTACACAAAGACTTGTCTGTGAATGTTCATAAAAGCATTATTCATATCATACCCCCAAATGAAAAAACATTCACCAACTGGTGAATGGATAAACAAAATGTGGAATATCCATAGAATTAACCACAAGAAATAAAAAGCAACAAGCTACTGATACATGTTACAGCATGGATGAGTCTTTCAAAAGTATTTTGCTGAATGAAAGAAATCAGATGCAAAAGACAGCAGCATCCTTTATTATTCCATTTATATGAAATGCCCAGCAAACACAAATCTATAGACAGCAAGCAAATCAGTGGTTACATTGGTTGGAGAGGAGAGAGGAGGGACTGATGCAAATAGGTTCGAGGACTTTTTAGGGTTATGGAAAACTTTTAAAACTGGACTGCTGAATTTTATACTTTAAATGGGTAAATTTTGTGAAATATAAATTATACTTCAATATTTCTATTAAAATTTAAAAGAAAGAAAGCAGTGGTTTATCAGAGCCAACTCCTGGGAAGCCAAAATCAACTGTTATCTCTTCTGAAAAGAATGCCTGCGCCCTGGGACTACAGAACAATATGGGACTAACAGGAGATTAAAATCCGTCAGGGAGAGCCAACAAAGAAGCTATTCTAATCACGAAAAATACATTAGGTCCACGGCAGTATCTCAAACTGTTTTATTTTGGAGTGGTATAATCTCAATTCTCCCAAAAAGAAGTAACACAGTAGAATACTGTTATGATGACATTGAGTTTACAAAAATAAATGTACATAACACCTTCCTTCTATAGAACTTCATGTTCTTCACATACAGTCTGATGGTGTTCTCAGGAGTTAAATTTGCAAGATAAAATGTTTCATAAAACAAGCCCCATCTGAGGTGGAATACAGAGCACTTTATAACATTAGGGAAAGTCTCTAGGTTAAATAACACTAGGGAAAGTCTCTAAGTTTTAAAAAGCAAAGTTGGAAGAACCTTGGGTGTTAAGAGGCAGAACGGGGAGGTAATTTGATCATAGAACCAGCTGACCAGAGGAACAAGTGCATCATCAGGGAGAAGTGGGTTAAGGGAGTATGTGTTAGAATGATTATTATAAACTAGAGGCCCGGTGCACAAAATTTGTGCACTCAGGGGGGGTCCCTCAGCCCGGCCTATGCCCTCTTGCAGTCTGGGACCCCTCGGAGGATGTCCACCTGCTGGCTTAGGCCCGCTCCCTGGGGGATTGGGCCCAAGCTTGCAGTCGGACATCCCTCTGGCAGCCCGGCAGCCTTCGGGGGATGTCCACTTACCAGCAGGGAGCAGACCTAAGCTGCAGTCGGACATCCTTAGTGCTGCTGAGGAGGAGGGAGAAGCTCCCACCACCACCGCTGTGCCGGCAGCCATCAGCCTGGCTTGTGGCTGAGCAGAGCTCCCCCTGTGTGAGAGCACTGACCACCAGGGGACAGCTCCTTCATTGAGGCATCTGCCCCCTGGTGGTCAGTGTGTGTCATAGTGACCAGTCATTCCCAGTGGTTCTGCTGTTAGGGTCAATTTGCATATTACCCTTTTATTATATAGGATAGAGGCCTGGTGCACGGGTGGGGGCCAGCTGCTTTGCCCTGAAAGGTGTCCCGGATCAGGGTGGGGGGTCCCGCTGAGGTGCCTGGCCAGCCTGGGTGAGGGGCTGATGGGTGTTTGCAGGCTGGTCACACCCCCTTCAGTGTGGGGGTCCCCACTGGGGTGCCTGGCCAGGCTGAGTGAGGGGCTGATGGCTATTTGCAGGCTGGTCAAGCCCCCCCACAGTGGGGACCCTCACCCCATGGAGGTTTGGCCAGCCTGGGTGAGGGGCTGATGGCTGTTTTCAGGCTGGTCACACCCCCTTTAGGGTGGGGGGTCCCCACTGGGGTGCCTGGCCAGTCTGGGTGAGGGGCTAAGGGCCATTTTCAGGCTGGCCAAATACCCCCGGTGACGGAAGCTCCCAGCCTCTCCTTTTTTTCTTTTTTCTTTTTTTTATTCTGGGATTTATTTACCTTCTATAATTGAAACTTTGTAGCCTTAAGAGGAGCTCAGAGCTGGCCAGGGCGGGCAGGAGGGAAGCTTGGCTTCCTCCATCGCCAGGGGCAACCCAAGCCTCCTGCTCGCTCCAGCTCCATGGCCATGGCCTGCTGAAAGCAGGTATTTGGGGTTTATTTATCTTCTATAATTGAAACTTTGTTGCTTTGAGTGGAGCTCAGAGCCGGCCGCGGCAGGCGGAAAGCTTGGCTTCCTCCATCATTGGGGCAACCAAGCCTCCTGCTTGCTCCAGCTCCGTGGCTGCCAGCCGCCATCTTGGTTGGGTTAATTTGCATATAGTCGCTCTGATTGGCTGGTGGGTGTGGCTTAAGGCATAGCGAAGGTACGGATAATTTGCATGTTTGTCTTTTATTAGTGTAGCCTAGAGGCCCGGTGCACAAATTCATGCACCAGTGGGGTCTCTTGGCCTGGCCTGCGGGATCGGGCTGAAACCAGCTCTCTGACATCCCCCAAGGGGTCCCGGATTGTGAGAGGGTGCAAACCAGGCTGAGGGACCCACCAATGCACAATCAGGACCAGGGAGAGATGTGGGAGGTTGGCCAGCTGGGGAGGGACCATGGGAGGGCTCCAGGGCATGTCCAACCCATCTCGCTCAGTCCCAATCGGCCGGACCCCAGCAGCAAGCTAACCTACCAGTCAGAGCATCTGCCCCCCTAGTGGTCAGTGCACGTCATAGAGACTTGTTGAGCAGCCTTTAGCATATCATTAGC